ATCATTTCGAGCGGGTCGGGCTCCTCGGCGTCCTCGCTCACGCCGGCGGCGGCCGCCGCTAAGCGCGACAGTGCCGCCACGGGGGCGGGACGGGGCAAGCCCTCCATCCCGGGCGCAGGCGGCGCCCCCTGCGCGCCACCCCGCCGATGGTGGCCGAGTGTGCGTACAGGGTCGTGCTGCAGCTGCTGGCGCTCCGTGTTCGTCAGGTAGCGCCGCCTCCAGCCGCTCGCGCTTTCCACGCCCACACCGTCCCACTGCTCCTGGCGTAACATCGCCAGCAGATCCTGCGGGATGTGGTGGGCGATGACACGCAACCCCACTTCCCGAGCCCCTTGGGGGACCTCGTACAGCAGCCGATTGATCCAATCTATCGGGTAGCGCCCGTCCTCCAGCGGGGGGGGGTGCCGTACGACCTCGCTGGCTGGGACCTCCACCCTGACGCCCTCGAGGCTAGTCCCGATGATAAGTCTGGCGTCCCCGCCAGTGCCCCGTACGTCGAGCCCCTCGCATTCCCCCAATAGAATAAACCAAGGACTCGCCGGGGGCGCGCCGTACGCCTCCTCGGCTCCCCGAGGGTCGCCCGGGAGTATCGGGCAGACCTTCGCGAGTAGGGGCTCCTGAAGCCACCCGTGGTGGGCGATCCGATCGCCCGGGGCCCCGCGGTCGGCAGACCGTGAGCGTCCGCTGGCCCTAGCTTCCGCGGAGCGTGTGCGACGCGGCTGCGGCCCCGAGGTTAGGGCCTGCGCCCCCGTGGGCTCCACATCGACAGATGGGGCCACGGCGGGCGGTGGCGGTGCAGCGGGGGGAGGTAGAGGCGGGGGGTAGACCGGCTCGGCCGCAATGCCAACCCCATCGGCCGCGTGCGCGGTCCAATCGCGCACCCTGGCGGGGCTTGGAGCCCGCGCCCGCATGCGGCGGCGCAGGCCCCCGAGGATCCCAGGTTGGACCGTCGCCTCGACGCGCACGGTGTGACCCTCGTCCCGTCGGAGATGTTCCCCGCACATCGGGGCCCCCCCGCAGCTACCCTTCGCCATGCGGAGACAAGTGGGGAGGCTGCACTTGCGGCCGATCAGGGTAGACCGATACTTCTGCGCATGGTGGGCGCAGAGGTGCACCTGTGCATTGAGACAATGCCCAGGCCGAGGAACGTCCGACACCTCCGCGTCCTCCTGTAGCAGGACAGTGGCCTCCTGCATCCCTCGGTCGCCGCACCCCTCCGGCTGGAGGGGGCGTGCGCCACCCGCGAGCTGCACCCCAACTTGTGCGGCTTGGCAGGGGCGCTCCTCCGCCTCCACCTCGCTCTCCGAGTCGATGTCCAGGCGGCGATAGCCCGTGGCGTCGGTGATGTAGCGGGGCTCCGGCCGGCCCCGGCACAGCCATCCGAGTACCGACCAGGGTGAGCAAAGCAGCCACTTGACGACCCCGAATACCTTCCGGAGTCCCACGCCGACTGCTCGGCAGGCCGTGGCCCTTCCGTGCTCAGCCAAGTCCACGATCTGTGTGTGGTCAATGGCCGCGTACTGGTCGACGTGCATGGGATGCGCCACTGGACAGGAGGCGCACTCGACAGTACGACATAGATGCACATTCCCTGTCTCCTCGAGGTTCAGCCGCCACATGCGACTGGTGCACCCCAGGACCTGCCCGATCTTGATGTTGAGCCCGTGGCGGTCCAATCGGTACCGGTCCGCGAAGTTGCAGCTGATGCGGGCCACCTGCCCGTGCTTACGCAGCAGCACGTGGTTGTACGCCCGATTGGTCCCTCGGCCGCGGACCCCCTTTGTGTAGAACTCTGTCTCCACCACGCCGCCCAAGCCCGGCCCGCGCCAGCGCACCAGCAAGGGGGTCGGAGGGGGTGGGGGAAGATGGGCGCCAGGCCCATCCCCTCCGCGTCGCTGGCAGCACCGGGTAATCTGGTACCACGCCCAGCGGAGTCCCCCGGCAGCCCACAGCATAGGCTGGGCTGCGGTGTTGACGATGAAGGCCAGGGCACCCAACACGAACGTGAAGATGCCTAGGGCAAAGCATAAGACCGCGGTCTCCCACCAATACCCAAGCATCTTGACGCCCAGGCGGTCGACGGCGGATCCAAACCATCCGCCACTCGTGCGGATCGTGCCCGGGTGGTCGGGGGAGCTTACCCACGCTCCATAGCCCACGACCTCGAAGACCCAGGCTGCGAAGCCCCAACCGGGACCCGGCCCTGCCTCCGGGGGCGGTGTAGGTGGCGGCGGCGGCGGTGGGGGTTCGCTCCGGCCAGCCCACCAATGGGGCAGGTGCGGGACCCAACCACTCCACCCCCAATACCCGTCCAGCCCACGCGGCAGGTCAGGCTCACCATCGCCCGTCCGGTTTCCCGGGGCGGACGGCTGCCCAGGCGCGCCCGTGGGCTCGTTGTTACCTCCGTATGCCGGCGTAGCTGGGCTGCCTGTGGGCTCGCCCTCGCCTACGCGCCCGATGCCCGCGGTCGTGGTCGTTGTAGTCGACCCTGACCGCGGCGGCGGTGGGACGCCCGGCGTCCCCGGGGGCTTGGCCTGCGGCCCTCGCCCCTTTCCCCCTGCAGGCGCGGGCTTGGCGGGCGGTCCTCGCCCCTTGCCTCGCCCCCCACCGCCTGCCGGCGGCGCTGTCGGCCCGGGCAGGGCTGGCGGCGTCGGCGCTGGGACCTCATGTCCCCCGCGCCCGAATGGCAGCCAGCCAAGTGCCCCTTGGACCGTAAGAGCGCCGCCCGTAACCAAGATCATCAGGTGCGCCCCCAGGAAGCCCACAGCCATGGCACCACAGGCGCGCTACCTAGTCCGCGGACTAGCACGGCTGTGGTTATGGCCGCCCCGCGGCCCCCTGGAACACCCGCGCGTCGGCCAGAGCCGAACGCTACGGACCCAAAATGGCTACCTGAGCCCACACCCCCTCCCACTTAACCTGCAGTCTACAACCAATCAGACTATACAAATTTCGGCCTCTTGAAACGCTCTGGAGAGGCGTCTTGAAGCGTCGTGGAGTGCCTTGGGGGGCCTCTCGGGCCGTCTCGGGCCTATCTTAGGCGTCCTGGAGCGGTCTTTCGGCGACTCGGGGGCCGTCTTGGGAGCCTCTGGAGGCCCTCCTGGACTATTCTGGACCTCCCCGGCCGCCCCGTCCTCCCATGCGGGGGCGGAGGCGGCGGCCTCCGAGGCCCAGGACGCGGAAACCCTGCAAAAACACCAGGAAAACGAGCCCCGGTGCCCCCATTGAGGGTCGAGGCAGCTGTTTTCGGGCCCGGGGCCTGCTCCCCCGGGATATCTATATATATATATATATACACATATATATATATACAAATATATATATGTGTGTGTGTGCATATATGTGTATGTATATATATATATACACATACATATACACACACACACACACATATATATACATATATATGTATATATATATATATATATATATACATATATATACACACAGCCACCCCATCACCCCTTCATTCTCCCTCGGTCTCGGAACTCTTCATTCATACTCTTACTGGTCATCGGCCTTCTTTTCATCCGCGCCTGCTCATCCATCTTTCCTATTCATCAGGTCTCCGCTGTCTTATCACGCTGGAATATAATAGGAATCAGCTGGATCTGGGATCTGCGATAGACTACGTAGATTCTAATTAGTTTTGAAAGGAATCAATTTGGAATCACCTGGACCTGGGATCCGCTCCACCCCAAATCGATGAAATTTAAATCCCAATGGGAATCCAACTGCTGGATGTGGAGCCTGCCCAATTCCAATTAGATTCGAATTACATTACAATAGAAATCCAATTTGAATCAGCTGGATCTGATGTATGCCGAATCCGAATTGGAATTTAAGTCGACTCCAATCGGAATCCGATGTGTAACAGCTACATCTGGGACCTGATTCATTCCAATGAGATTAGAATTTGATTCCAGTAGGAATCAAATTGGAATCAGCTGGATCTGAGATCTTCTCCATTACAATAAGATTCTCATCCGACTCCAGGAGGAATTCATTTGGCATCAGCTGGATATGTGATTTGCTCAATTCCAATTCGACTCTCAATACATTCCACTAGGAATCCCTGTTGGACTCAGCGGGACCTGGGATGTGCCCAATGCAAAAAACTAATTCAAACAAAATCGAAGTCACAAAAAAAACAATCACATTGTCATCAGCTGGATCTGGAAAGTGCTCCATGCCAATGATATTCTAATAAGTATACAGCTGGAAGGTTCTACAAGGTTCAAATGGGAATCACATTGGAATCAGCTGAATCTGTGATCCGATCCACCCCAGCTTGATTACAAGTGTATCCCAAAAAGAATATACGAGCAATCAGCTGGATCTGGAATCTGCTTCTCTCTCTCTGTCTTTCTCTGTCTCTCTCTCTCTCTCTCTCGCTCTCTCTCCCAGACACCCAACACAATCCCCGTGAAGCATAAGGCAGGGGTGCGGAAACCATTTTTTCTATCTGGATGCTTGGGAGTTCAGGGATGGGACATGAAGAAACCATATGTTCATTTGCATGTTTGAAGATTCAGGGAAAATTCCTGCCTCCAGCGAAAATCAAACCCAGGAACCCTCAGAGGAGCTCCGGTCCCCAGAAGCCCCCCGCCCCTGAAAAGAATGATCCTGGAGAAGGACCCAACCATACGTAAGTGTGAGTACCGCGTTGTGGGTACCGTTTTCGGTGGAGCTGGGAATCCCCTCCCTGTTGCGCGCAGCGCGCCAGGGGCGGCGCCGGAAGCGCCGCCAGGGGGGCCCGCGGATCCCAGAAATCCGCGCAGAGCGCCAAAAATTTATGCTCATGGTCCCGCTCCCTTGAGGACCCGCTTGCTCCACGGCGCTGGCACGGTGGCGGGGCCGCAGGCAGTCCTCCCCCTCCTCCTCCTCCTCCTTCTCCGCCTCCTCCCCCTCCTGCTTGCTTCACGGCGCTGGCACGGTGGCGGGGCCGCGGGCAGCCCGACGACGCGAGGCGCTCAGGCACCCTTGTCCGCCCCGGGCGCCTCGCGGTGCTGCTGCTGCCTCGGGCCGCCCGCGCTCGGCTCGGGGCGCGTCCTCGGCGCCCGCGACGGCAGCGACGCCAGGCACGACGACGACGCCGGGCAGAACGGCGACGAACGACGGCAGACGGACCACGACGACCACGACGCCCAAGACAGCCAAGACAACCAAGACAGACGACGGCGACGACGACGACCACGACGCACAACGACGACGACGACGACGCACAACGACGACGACGATGACGACCACGACGACGACCAAGACAACCAAGACAGACGACGGCGACGACGACCACGACCACAACGAATTCGACGACGACGACGACGCACGACGACGACGACGACGACGACGACGACGACGACGACCACGACCGCGACGACGACGACCACGACCACGACGACGCACGACGACGACGACGACGACGACGACGACGACGACGACGACGACGGCGACGACGACGACGACGACGACTTCGTCCGCTGCGACCTCCGAATGGTCTGAGAGCGCCTCCTGCGGCCCTCGGAGGCGGGCCCCGAAGACCCCGAATCCCTCCGGAGGCCCTCCAGATCAGAAAGCATAAACAATAGCCTGGCGAAGGACCCAAACAGATGCAGTTGTGAGTAATGCAGTTGTGAGTATCGTATTCGATGAAGCTCCTATGGGGCCACGACGCGTGTGAGGGGTGTGCCGAAATGGGTGGCGGGGACGCATGTGGGCACCGCCACTGGGGCCATCGGTGGAGCTCCCTATGGGGCCACCAAACGTGTGAGGGGTGTGCCGAAGTGGGTTGCGGAGGCGCTTGTGGACTGCGCCACTGAGTCACTGGGGCCTTTGATGGAGCTCCGTATGGTGCCACGAAACGTGTAACGGGTGTGCTGGAATGGGTGGCGGGGACGCATGCGGGCTGCGCAACTGGGACCTTCGCTAGAGCTGCCTTTGGGGCCGCGAAACGTTCAAGGTGCGTGCCGAAATGAGTGGCGGGGACGCATGTGGGCACCGCCACTGCGGCCTTCGGTGGGGCTCCCTATGGGGCCACGAAACGTGTAACAGGTGTGCCGAAATGGGCGGTGCGGACGCATGCGGGCTGCGCCGCGGGGACCTTCGGTGGAGCTCCTATGGGGCCTCGAAGCGTGTGAGGGGTATGCTGACATTGGTGCCGGGGACGTATGTGGCTGCGCAGCTGGGACCTGCGGTGGAGCTCCTGGGGGCCACGAAACGTGTGAGAGTTGTGTCAAAATGGGTGGCGGGGACACTTGCGGGCTGCGCCGCGGGGACATTCGGTGGAGCTGCCTATGGGGCCGCGAAACGTTTGAAGGGTTCAAATGTGTTGCGAGGACGCATGCGGGCTGCGCAACTGGGGCCTTCGATGGAGCTCCCTGTGGTGCCACGAAACGTGTAACGGGTGTGCTGAAATGGGTGGCGGGGACGCATGCGGGCTGCGCAACTGGGACCTTCGGTGGAGCTCCCCATGGGGCCACGAAAAGTGTGAGGGGTGTGCCGAAATGAGTAGCGGGGACGCATGCGGGCTGCGCCACTGGGACACTCGGTAGAGCTCCTATGGAGCCACGAAACGTGTAACAGGTGTGCTGAAATGGGTGGCGGGGACGCATGCGGGCTGCGCCACGGGGACCTTCGGTGGGGCGACGAAACGTGTGAGGGGTGTATCATTACACCAGAGGAAAACCCGATCAGCGCATGGCTTGAGAATGAGATCGACAGTGAGATCGATAGTGGGATCGATATCGAGGACGATCGTATGGTCGGTCATTAGACCGATAGTGATGTCGATTCAGTGAGATCGATAGTGAGATCGATCGTGAGATCAATCGTACGATCGCTCGTGCGATCTATAGCGAGATCGATAGTGAGATTGATTGCGAGATCGATAGGCAGATCGATCGAGAGCTGGGTAATGAGATCGATGGTGAGACCGAAATCGACCAGGAACTCGGGAACCCAGAAATCCGGGAACTCCGCCGCCCACCGAAGTCGGCCCGGAACCAGCAACCGGAATCCAGGAACCTGGCCACCTACCGAAATCGGCAGCCAACTTTCGCCAAATCCTTCAAGATCCGCTATAGCGCTAGGACCCTTCAGTGCAAGCACTGACTGGGGAAAAATGGGTGGCGGGGACGCATGCGGGCTGCGCCACTGGGACCGTCGGTGGAGTTCCCAATGAGGCCACGAAACGTGTGAGGGGCGTGCCGAATGGGTGGCGGGGACGCATGAGGGCCTGTGTACACTGCAATGCTTGCGTACACTACAGCGCCAGCGTATATGTTCACACCGGAGGCAACCATGTGCAACACAGCGCCTGTGTACACCACAATGCTTGCGTGCACCGCGGCGCCTGTGCACGCCACAGCGCCCGTCGACACCACAGCATCCGCGTGCAACGCAGCGCCTTTGTACACCACAGTGCCTGCGTGCGTAGGACAGGTTGAAGGAGCCTGTACGTGAGGATCTGCTGCGGAAGCGCCACTCCAGGAAAGTGCGAATAATCGAATGCGACGTGTTTCCCTCTTCCCTTCTCTTCCATTTCCACCTCCTCCTCCTCCTCCTCCTCCTCCTCCTTCTCCTCCTCCTTAACCCCAGTCGCGCGGGATGGCGCTACAGCGCACGTGCGCGACTCAGCGTGCACCGCAGAATGGTCGATTGAATCGGCCCACTTGGTTCTCGGACGGCCAATTTAGCTGGAGCCTCCCGGACGCAGACGGGAAGAGTTACGGTGATGCGGGCGAACTCGGAAGGACTCGTAGATTCCCCTGGCGTTCCCTAGTCCATACGGCTTATTTTCTTGCGTTTTCGGTGGAATCCACAAACGCTCCATTTTGTCATAACGATTCCTTCTAACACTCTACATGCAACAGTGGTGCTGTGTTGAACACGGTTGCACACAAGCGCCGTGGTGTACACAGGCACTGCAATGCACGCAAGCATTTTGGTGTACACTGCTGTGTTGCACACGGCTGATATGGTGTACGCAGGTGCTGTGATGTACACAAGAGCTGTTGTGCCCGCGCGCGGGGTGGCACAAACTGACGCTGTGTTGCACGCGGTTGCTGTGGTGTACATAGGCGGTGTGTTGTACACAAGCTCTGTGGTGCACGCAGGCACTGAGGTGTACACAGGCGTTGTGGTGCAAATCGCCACCTACATGCTGGTGCCACCCGTCCTCCGTCATTCCTAGGCATTCCCAGGCGCCGCCGGCGCGAAGCGTGACGTCATCGACCCCCTCCATCCCCCCCAGATGATTGCCGTCATCGCCCCGAAATTTTTTATATAAAAAAAAAAAAAAAAAAAAAAAAAAAAAAAGTTTCCGGCCGCGGCCCCGCGCACGACGACGAGAGCGACGAGCGACGAGCCACGAGCCACGAACACGAGCGACGACGACGACGACGAAGACGACGACGACGTCGACGACGACGACGCCGGACCGACGACTCTGCGCGACACCTACGCGGATTCCCAATGCTGCGCACGGCGCAGTGCCAGAGCGCACGGGTGGGGGAGAGGGGTCATGGGGGGGGGGGGGGCATGACGCCCGTCATGCCCCAAGCAATAAAGAAATGGTCTCCGGGAACCCGGGAACCCGGGAACCGGGAACCCGAGAACCCAGCCTGCTACCAAAATCGGCGGGATGTTTTCGCCAAATCTTTTAACTTCCGCTAGGACCCTTCAGTGCAAGCACTGATTGGGGAAATTCGATGCTCACTCGATCGACGGACGTCGATCACAACGGCGGCAGACGACGACAGACGCGGCCTCAAGCGCCTCTGCAGAGGCCCCACGGCTCCGGCCAGGCGGGCGGACGCCCCCACACCAGCGGCAGGCCCAGGCCCTGCCCGCGGCCAGGAGGAGGAGGAGGAGGAGGAGGAGGAGGAGGAGGAGGAGGAGGAGGAGGAGGAGGAGGAGGAGGAGGAGGAGAGGAGGAGGGGGAGGAGGGGGGAGGAAGAGGGAGAGGAGGAGGAGAGGAGAGGAGGAGGAGGAGGAGGAGGAGGAGGCGAGGAGGAAGAGAGGGAGGAGGGGGGAGGTAGGGGGAGGAGGAGGAGGAGGGGGAGGAGGACAAGCTAGGTGCGCTCGCGTCATATCTGACGTCCTACCCCTCCCTCCCATCCCTTACCATGGCGCTGATTTTCTCTATCCGCGGACGCGTGTCGTAGCGGACCTGTGGCTCCGCGCGCGCGTGCGTAGTGGGTGGTGGTGCACGTGCGTGCGTGCGTGCGTGTGTGCGTGTTGTCGTGTGGTGGTGGTGGTGGTGGTGGTGGTGGTGGTGGTGGTGGTGGTGGTGGTGGTGGTGGTGCTGGTGCTGGTGCTGGTGGTGGTGGTGGTGGTGGTGGTGGTGGTGGTGGTGGTGGTGGTGGTGGTAGTGGTTGGTGGTGGTGGTGGTGCTGTGGTGGTGGTGCTGGTGGTGGTGCCGGTGCGTGGTGGTGGTGGTACTGGTGCTGGTGCTGGTGGCGGTTGTGGTGGTGGCGGTGGTGTGGTGGTGGTGGTGGTGGTGGTGGTGGTGGTGGTGTGGTGCGGTGCGGCACGGTGTGGCGGGCGGATGGGCGCGCGAGGAAAAAGGCCCGCGCTGGGGCGAGAACGCCATCCTGAACGACGGAGGCCAAACACCGATCCGAAAATGAGGCCCACGCTGCAGCGGGAGCACGATTCGGAACGATCGGGAGCAGAAATGAGGCCGGCGCCTCAACGAGAGCAGCACATTTTGGGAAAAAATGACGCCGGCGCCTGAGCGAGAGTCGTTTCCCGGGATTTCCCGGGCATCCTGTGTCTAAAAAAACAGTACGCGGAGGGTGCGCGGCCATCACCCGGACGCCATCAGGGGAAGAGGGAGAGTATTTTCATAGTGAGTAATTGTGGAGGGGGAGGAGGAGGAGGGGGAGGAGGAGGAGGAGAAGGAGGAGGAGGAAGAGGAGGAGGATCGATCGTGCCATTCTGTTTTTCTTGAACCCACATCTGTTGAAAATCTCGTAGGCGAGCTGGTCGGCCATGATATTCCAGGGACGTGCAAGGCGAAGCCCCGAGTACACAGCCCACTTGTGTGGTGCCAGGGTGAGAAGCGCAGATCGTTATATTTATAGGGCCCTCGGGGTTGACCTCGGAGGGCCCTGGGAGACACCAAAAACTTGGGGGAGCCACTTTAAAGAGGGTGGTGGTGGGGCCTGTGGACGGTGAGAGAAAAGCTGCGGAGCGAATAACTCACTTCTACTCTCGAATCCCATGCAGAGCAAACCCATCGATCGTGCCATTCTGTTTTTCTTGAACCCACATCTGTTGAAAATCTCGTAGGCGAGCTGGTCGGCCATGATATTCCAGGGACGTGCAAGGCGAAGCCCCGAGTACACAGCCCGAAATTCGCAAACTCCGTATGCGGTTCACGATCACGAAGCATGTCTGAGTCTTTCGCTCACCCATGGCACCACTGGAAAATAAGATTGCTTTGATTCCTGCAACAGCTTGGTGAAACCGGAGTCGAGAAAGAGGCCGGCCAAGATGGATGCAAACCGAGGAGGGTATGCAGCAGCTCGTTTTGTCCAGCGGACCCCTGTGGGGTCTGGTCCCGATAGCACGATATGAGGTTTCGCCGAGAAGATACAGGGTTGACAACCAAAACTGGGGCACTTGTGCAACATCTTGTACATGTTCTCCACACCCCAGGACCACAACGTCGTAGGTTTTTTCCACCGCGCTCCGAAACCACAGAGGTGAGTCGTGAGCGACTGCTGTTTGGCAAGATTACGAAGACTGCGAAACTCGACAGTGTGCCAGATCAGACTTGTCTGAGGATTCTCGATCACCCAAGGAACTCCACACTTCACAGCGAACTTGCAGAGCTGGGCCGTCAGCTGCATGAAAAAAGTACCTGCTGCGATCTGGGCCTGCTCCGACGGAGTGTTCGTCGGAAGGCCCTCGATGAATTCACGACTTCTGATCATTGGCCTCCGGGCGTTGCTGTACGTGGTGCACGGCGGTGCCAGGAGGATGCCCAAACAGCGAGGATGAGCCAGAAGCCGTCGGATGCGTCGCCGCACTGGGCGGCGGGTGACGTCCCCTGCGGCTCCCTGCAGGACGTCAAAGGGGAAGGCCTCCACCCCGCGGCGCCTAGCGGCCTTGGAGAAAGCCCCGCAGCCACTGAACACCTCGATCATGAAGAACCCACGCCTCTGATGCTTCTGACGTGGCCGCAGGCTCGAGCGATAGCCGCCTCCAGCTCGCTGGCGCTCCTGTTGCAGTAGGCCTTGGACTCCTGGTCGAGCCCATTGTAGACTTCCTGCACGAGCGCCCGCTTCTCGTAGCGGCGCACCGACGCTCCCGTCCGCCAGCGCCCTCGACGTTGCACCTCGGCGAGGTCCAGCCTGTTGGTCAGCCTGTCCAGGCTGGCGCCCGAGTGCCGGCCCATGTAGAGGACCGGCTTCAGGCTGCTGATGCCCGCGGGGATGCAGGCGGTGAGGAAGCTGGCGTTCAACTCCTTGAGTGTGAAGTCCCACAGGGGCCCCCGCTGGGGCCGACTCGCTGCGTACTTGGTCAGGGCATCGGAGAGCCAGGCCCGGTTGATGATCAGACTTTCGTCTACGGCCCCGACCTTGCTGGGCATCCCCTTCTCGGCGGGATGCAAGAGAATCGCAGTTTGTTTCATGTGTTGTTGTGTATTCCCTCGTAGGATCTGGCTGGTCTGGAGGTCGAGGCACTCGCCCGGCCGCATGCATGTGTCGACCATGAGAAGCCAGCAGAGTGCCATCAACAGGCCGTTGACCCGGAGGAGCCCTATCGCGATGGCGGTCACCACCTCCCAGGGCAAGGGCCGCCGAGTGCGGCGTGGCACCAGTCGGCGCCAGCCGCGCAGGGCCCTGGTCGCCCGCGGCAAGGTCATCATGCCCTTGGCGTTGTAGCTCGGCACTACGTACTGGATGGCCGCGACGAGCTTCTCCCCCGTTGACGGGGCCTTTCCCTCCAGGAAAAGTCTGTCGAAGTAGATCACGATCTGCGCGTCCAGGATGGCGGGATGCACACTCAAGTCCTGCATCTGCTGCCGCTCCTGAAAATCGTGAAGTAGTCGTTGATACTGATCTCGTGTCTTCTGCGTCAGCGAGGCCTCCTCGGTGATGCCTGGTCCCCTCGTCGTGTCCCGGAGCGGCCCGTGAACGTCCTGCCGACGTGCAGCACGACGCTCCCGAAGCTGCCGCTCCTTGTCGAGGCTCGCACTCTTGGCCTCCAGCAAGCCCAGGATGGGATGCCCAGGAGGAGGCTGGTTGGCACGACGGAGGCTCTCCACGTCTGGCTCGGTCTTCTGCCGCTTGTCCGTCAGTGGATAGCCCGACCTCAACGGCGCACGAGAGAGCGCCTCCACCACGTGGGAGGTCGTCGGGGCGGTCCGCCGGTGGCTGGGGTGGCCCACTCGGTAGTCGCGTAGCTGGCGCCGATGGCTCTCTCTTGCGGGATGGTCCATCGGCTGGGTTTAACTCAGAGGGTAGCCATCTACATACAAATCTCGATTTGGTAGCTAGAGCCCACGCTGCTGCCTTACGATGAAGCATGAGTAAACGAGGATCTCGACACCGACCTTTCGAGAGCGAGAGGATGAGCCCCAAGTTGTCTCCCAACATCAGCCACGACTTTCCCCAGTCTCCAGGATCCCGAACCGCTTGACGGATAGATCCCAAGAAGCCCCGCATTTCAGTAACATGAATTGGTTCACGAGTAAACACCGGTTGATATCTCTCCAGTGTCCACCGAGTTGACTCCACAAGCTGGGGGGGGACGTCGGGGAATTCACGGTTTAGATACACATCACTGTAATCGATCTCCTTGTTTGACGTATCTTCCATATTTGTTTGTTTGTCATAAGATTTACCCAGAGCGTGACCACGGGGATTTGCACGGGCGGGATCGTCTTCATTCTTATACCTCCAGCGCTCGTGCCACTTCCCCACCTGCTGTACACCCCCCACCGTCCAGGCCCCCCTCACCGTGGCATGCCCAGACTCACACGCATCGTAGGCCAACACATCCGAGGACCAGTGAGGATCCAAGTCCCTGGACGCAAAGATTAAAAGGCCCTGGATGGTTCTGAGCTCCTGGAGGACACTTTTCCACAGGCTCCGGGGCTTGGTAAATTCACCCCTGGAAAAATCGTAGCTGGCGCGCAACGTGCTAAGCAGCTCTCGGCGAATGAGAGCCACAAAAGTGAAATGGCCAATCAGTCGCTCAAGCTGGCGACTGCTCAGAGGAGGCTGCCTGCGCCGGATCCACTCCAGCGCCTGCCACAACCGCCAGTAGCGCTTCGCAGACACCTGCACACGCCCTGGACAACCGGTCTGCTCGACGCCCAGCATCTCCATGCTCGCCGCTGCGTCGGACTCGTCATGAGTGGCGTAGCCCGCCTGCTGCAGCGCGACGCAGGCAGCCTCTCGGAGTCGTGTCACCTCCGCTTGGTCGAACCCCTCGATCAGCACGTTATCCACATACACAGTGTGCACCGCCCCGTCCTCGACTCGAGGTGGAGGTCGAAAGTCGACCGCTCGGCGCCGCGGCCCCAGCTCGGGAACTCCATCGAGAACATGCTCGTGGATCCGCTGCACCATGAAGAGGGCCCACTTCCACCCCATCGGAACCACGTTCATCAGGGGGTACAGGACCTGGTCGCCCCGCACGGCCTGGCCGTCCAGCTCGGCAACGCCCAGCTCCGAGGCCCGCACGTGGTCGAGGCCGAAGTAGGGCTGCAGCCAGCACGGCAATTGGTGCTGGTAAAAGGCGTTCTGAACGTCACCCCCTGCGTACCACATCTGTTGGTGCGCCGAGACCTCGACCTCCCCGAAGCTGCTGCCCGAGAAGAGGTGGACCTTCGGCGCGGCTCGAAAGTGTTGGTTACTCCGTCTGCAATCGATCACGATCCGAATGCTAGAGTCCTTCTTCTTCACAAAGAAGACCTTGACGGCTTCCTTCCGACGGCGGCTCAGGCGGAAGATCCCCCGAGCAAGGCCATCCTTCACGAAGCCGATGTAGGCGTCGCGATTCTCCTTCAAAACTGTGTCGCCGTACAATGTCGGCAGGCCCTCGACCTGCCGTACCTGCGCCACCTCCTGCGGCTGCCGCAGCCACACATCTCGCTGGCCCTCTGTCATGTACCGGAGCAGGTCCGGTGGCGCGTTCGTCGGCAGCGGGACCGGGCGGTTGCCCCTCTTGGGCCAGCTCACCGACTCGCGCGAGTAGGGCCGAACTGGTGAGACCTCATCGCCATCCAAGTACGACGAGGGCGTGCTCCCGAGAAGCTCATGAAAGGCTTCCTGCGGACTGTTCGAATTCACCGGCTCGGGGGCATGAGCCGCGTGAAGCGCCCGCACGTCACTGTAGACCAGGGCGGAGGGGCCGGTCAGCTCCCCGACGGACTCCACCTCGGGCGTGTCAAAACCTGCCAGGCGATTGATGGCTCGAATCGTCTCGGCGGTCCTCTCTTGGACCTTGAGCCGTCGCCGAACACGTTGCTCCGTGCCCCGCGACAGCGCAGTGCAGCCACCAGTGTAACACTCCTGCCGAGGACAGGCCAGAGGAAGAAGGCCATCTCCTGCACCAGCAGCAGCATCACGACGGTGAATTGACCCCTTGACTTTCGCACCACGGCCGGGGTCCTCCGTGGTGCGCCCCTCTCTCAGGGGTGCTCCTGATCCTTCTTGCCGCCACCCTTGGAGACCTTCTTGGCCGCCGCGGACTCCTCTCGAGCCTTGCGGCGCTGCTTCATCACCTCCGTCTCCTTGCTCTTTTTGTCGGTCGCATAGTGTGCAAGCCCAGGGTTGAGCGCGACCCCGCGGCGCAGGCCGCCTGTGGGGTCACGCCCAACGCAGTGCTCCAGGCCCTCCAGCTGCAGGGTCCCGCTGGTCTCCTCCACCAGCTGGTACAACCGCGCCAGCACCTCAACACTGGCCAGGTTGCCGCCATCGCACTGGTCATAGCACACCGAGAGATCCAACGCCAGACCCACGAGGTCGTGGATGAGATAGGCGGTGGAGTCGATGGCGATCTTCTGCTCCGTGGCCCACTTGGTCTGGCGGGCGTCGAACGTGCCGCCGTGGTCACGGACGTACTTGAAGAGCCACAGCGCCGACCTCTCGCCCTCAAGGGGGAAGTCCTCCATCGGCTCTGTGCTCATCTTGCTGACGGCATTTGCAAAGTCACACCAGCGACGCCCGCCTGGATCGTAGGAGACGGGGGCGAGCACTCGGGCGTCACCGCCGTCGGCAGCCGCACCTCCTTCCACCACTTTGCTCAGGTAGTCGGGTCGGCACGCGGCGATCACTTCACCATTTGGCATACGGTGGAGCGCCAGCTCGCCCATCACCTTGTCTCCCGTCTCGAGCTCCACCGGGTCTCCACGGCGCACGGAACCGATCGTGACAAGGGACACCCAGCGGCCTCCGTCATTCACCAGCTCCGTATCCGCGTCGAGGACCTCGGGAGTGCGGGTGCCTCCCACGAGGAGGTCGCCGCCCTCGGGGGGCTCAAGAGGCGGCGGCAGAGCCGGCAGCGGACGCCCACGCGCACGCCGGTAGATGCCCTCGTGCCACTCCAACGGCTGCCTCTGCCCCATGGCGTCGGTGTACGCCGTCGGGCCCACGACCTCCCCGCCCTCGGACACGGCGAGTTGGTGCCCCTCATTGATCAGCTCGAGGAGCCGCTGCTCGTCCGGGTAGTCGCGGAACCTGTAGGTCTTGCCTCTGAGGAAGAACGGGAGGGTGCCGTCGGCCGGCAGGATGGCCGCGCGGCACGGACCCGAGTCGGGATCCCCAGCAATCACGTTTTCTATGTACATGTCTCCATCGGGGGTGTACACCACCCAGTGCTGAGCGTCAACCTGAAACAAAATTTGACGCTCATGCCACACGTCATCCTCCGTGTAGAACACGGCCACATAGCTCCCCACGAGGAGCTCATTGCAGAACTCCTCCTCCACGGCGGCGTGCCCTGTCTCCAGGAGCAGGGCGGCCAGGCCCTGCCAGCGCGGCACGCCCGGGGGAGCCGAGGCCGTCGGACGCGACTCCCGCAGGGGAGCTCGGCGGCGCCTGGGCTCGGTCGCCATCTCGTCGTCGACAGGCGCAGAGACGGCCTCCAAGCACCAGGACGATGTGGCCCACCGCGCCTCCCGCAAGGTGCCACACGCCCTCCCTCACGTCCTTGTCCGCCTCGGGTGGACACTCCGGCAACTGTGGGCACGAGCAAGTGCAGGCTGGCGCCTGTGGGCAGCTCACGCCCTCTGGCGGACCACTCCAGTTGGTCAGGGCCTCACCAGCGGCTGCCGCCGCCGCGGCGGCCAGGCCGGCCGCGTCCGCGGCGGAGTAGGCGGCCTGGGCGGCCGCCTCAGCACCTGCGTGGCCCGCCCCCTGCCAGAGCCCGGCCTGCTGCAGGAAGGTCTGATACACCAGGTCGGCGTGCCTGAGCAGCACTGCGCCCACCACGCCGGCTGCGGCGTGTCGCGGACGCAGCGCCAGGGCCATGCACTGCCCGGGCCCCAGGAAGCCCCCCTCCTGTATGAGAGAAAAGCTGCGGAGCGAATAACTCACTTCTACTCTCGAATCCCATGCAGAGCAAACCCAGGAGGAGGAGGAGGAAGAGGAGGAGGAGCAGGAGGAGGAACACCAGAAACGCGCGGCCCTCGTCGACCTATCGCTCACCCAGCTTCGCGCATCCAACCATGCGACAGCCATGCGGTGCACGACGCGCGACCACCTCCTGCGTCCTGACTTCGCCGCCCGAAGGAGGGGCGGCCATGCGGCCCAGGACGCGACGCGCGACGCGCGACCATCTCCTTCACGCCTCTGGGGGTCACCTGGCGGTCGATCGGCATTCGAGGATCCAGGCCGAGGAGGAGGGTTTGTAGATAAACTTGGTCCTCTTTGGGGACCTCCAGGGGGACCCTCGTCGCAAAGGCTGGCCCCGCACCGATGCTGAAGGCTTCTACGCAGGGGCCTCAAATTTGAAGGTTTCAATCCAACGTCGGGCGTCCTGACTGGAGTTTCATGAGTTTGGCCCTCTCAGGCTCGCTTCGCACCCCTGGGGCAACCGAAGAAGGGTAAGGGAGAACAAAACACGACAACAACAACAACGCACCAAAAAACAAACACAACACAACAACAACAACGACGACGACGACGACGACGACGACGACAACAACAACAACACAACACCAAAAACACCAACACCAACACCAACACAACAACAACAACAACAACAACAACAACCACAACAACAAACAACAACAACCAACATCAACAACAACAACAATCATTTTACCCGAACGCTCAGTGTTTCACCAGTGCCAGGGTTTTCCATTGCGAGCCAGCCAATACCCCCACTTTGTGGGGGGGCAGTGCAAGCTCTACCACAATATCCACACGACTCTTCGCCACCACCCACACCCAGCTTCCCGCCCTATGACGTTCGGACACTTCACTTCGTGGCCTGCGGACGACCGTGGCTACTACACTGGCGTGGGGTACACCCCAAGAACTTGGTCAATTATTCGGGGCGCGCGTGTGCCCAGCATCCTGCAATTGTGACATACAATACATGACACAGACAGACAGAGAGAGAGACAGAGAGCAGACAGAGAGAGCGACAGAGAGAGCGGAGTTGGTCACATTTTTGGGGCAAGTTCCTGAGATCGTCGTGTTTTTTGTTGGTCTTGCGCGCGCGAATGTCCACTGTACTTTTTTTTTGCAAGGGAGTATTGAAATTTGATTATGTTAGAACAAGAAAAAGTAGCTCGCGCGAGCTCATGTAACATAAATGTTGAAAAACCATTGGTTTTGTGGGAGTCGGACAGCGCGCGCGGGATGAAATTTGGACATTTTTTTTTGAAAAAACATTGGGTTTTTGATGTTTTTATGTTGAAATCGTTACGAAACCTAAGGTTCTGGAAGGATTTCGTCTTGCGCGCGCGAATGTCCACTTTACCTTATTTTTTGCAAGGGATTATTGAAATTTGTTTATGTTAGAACAAGAAAAAGTAGCTCGCGCGAGCTCATGTAACATAAATGTTGAAAAACCATTGGTTTTGTGGGATTCGGACAGCGCGCGCGGAAGGACATTTTGACATTTTTTCTTAAAAAACCATTGGGTTTTTGATGTTTTTATGTTAAAATCGCTACGAAACCTAAGGTTTTGGAAGGATTTCGTCTTGCGCGCACGAATGTCCACATTACCTTATTTTTTGCAAGGGATTCTTGCAATTTGATCAAGTAAGAACAAGAATTTTCATTTTATAGAGTTTTTTGCAAGGGAAAACGGATTACAACAAAACAACCGGATCCGGTGACAATCCACTTTTCTGAAGCTTTCGCTAGAAAATGAAGGAAATGAGGCTGCGGCCTAGGTTTTGGAGGGGGGTCGCGCACCAGGGGTCTCAACAATAATATTTCTTTAGAAGAAATAATATTCAACAACAACAACAACAACAACAACAACAACAACAACAACACATACGAAAACAACACCAACCAACAAAAAACGGACCACCAAAACAGCAACACAACGACAACCACAATTAAATATAACAACAACAACAACGACGAAAAACAACAACAACACACAACAAAACCAGCAACAATAACAACCACAACACGACAACAAAACAAGGAAACAAACACACACAACACAACAGCAACAACAACAACCGCAACAAAACAACCACGCTAACCGCAACAACAAAACACGCACGAACAACAACAACAACAACAGCAACAACAACAACCACGACAACAACAACAGCAACAACAACAACCACGACAACAACAACAACAACAACAACAACAACAACGACAATAACAACAACAACGACAACAACAACAACCACGCAACAACAACAACCACAACAACAACAACTACAACGACAACAACAACAACAAGAACAACAACAACAACAACAACAACAACAACAACAACAACAACATTAACAACCACGACAACAACAACAACAACAACAACAACAACCATCATTTTAAGACTGTTCGTCCTTATCTGCTCGAGTGTCGAATAACGCGAATTTCCCAAACCCTCGATACCCGCCCTCTTCGTCTTCGATCGAACCCCTTTTGGTGGGTATACCTTTCTTCCCTGCAGGCCGGGCCCCGGCAAGCGGCGGGGCGGCCGCGGACCGTCGGCTGGAGGGCCAGGACAAAGAGGGGACGGACGGGGACGACGACGACGACGACGACGACGAAGACGACGGCGACGACGACGACGACGGCGACGACGAGCGAAAGCGAGAGCGAGAGAGAACGACCGCAGGGCCACGAAGGGCACGAAGTAGGCCACGAAGGGCGACAGCGGGGACACGAAGGGAATGAGTATGGGGCCACGAAGAGCGCGAACGAGCGGGGGCCACGAAGTGCAGATAATGCTGGGCCACAGAAGGCAACTATGGGGCCACTGAGGGTAGCAACTGGGCCACGTAGGACAGTGAGGGGCAAAACGGCGAATCGGGGAAACCCACCAACGGAATGCGTATGGGGGCAACCGGGGCGAACGAGCAACCCCACGAAAAAACAAGGGGGGGGGCCATAGTTATGTTGGGCGCGGTAGGGACGGACGGGGCACTGAGGGCAGCAAGGGTAACGAAGGGCAGCGAGGGGGCACGTAGGGCGACAGGCGGTGGCCGCGAAGGGCATGCATATGGGGCCAACACGTGCGCGAACGAGCGGGGGCAGATGGGAAACGATGTAAGGGACACGAAACAAAGTCGGGGGGGCCACGAAGGATGCAACGTGGCCCGAAGTGCAGCGAGGGTGATTGACGCAAGTGTTGCAGGGGCCAACAATGGCTGCAACGGGGCTCGAGGGACTGAGGGGGGCACGACAGGCATGCAACGGGTACGAAAAACCGAGGGGTCCACGCGAAGGGCTGCAACGGGGCCACGAAACAAAGCGAGGGGGCCACGAAGGGCTGCAACGGGGCCACGAAGGGCAACGAGGAGGCCTCGAAGGGCTGCAACGGGGCCACGAAACAAAGCGAGGGGCCCACGAAGGGCTGCAACGGAGCCACGAAGGGCAGCGAGATCCCGATTCCTAGGTAATCTGTGAAGGAGTCTTGCGCGCGCGAATCATGCAAGGGATTCTTCAGTAAATTGCAAGCAGGTCTCCAGCGAGAGCGCGACTCCAGAGCGCAGGAGGAGCGATTCCTGAATAAATCGCAAGGAAGTCCCAAGCGAGAGCGCGATTCTTGAATAAAATGCGAGGAAGTCTCGGGCGGGAGCGGGGGTCCTGGCTAAATTGTGAGGAAGCCTCAAGCGGGAGCCGTTGTTGTTGTAACCCGGGGGCCAGGGGGCCAGTTTGAGCAGGAAGACTTCTTCGACAAAAAACAAAGTGCGAGCCCCGGGGGGGTACTTCAATTGAAAAAAAATCAATGTGCACCGGTGGGGGGGGATCAACAATAATTATTCTTTAAGAAGAATCAGAGTTCAACAACAACAACAACAACAATCATTTTACCCTCACGCGCCATGCTTCCACATGACACATGCATCCATCTGGATAACACACCCCATCATGGGGGATTTTTCTGACATGCGGGATCCGATATTCCCTCACCCAGATATCCCGCCCAAAAAGGTTTGGCCACCACCTCTTCCGAGGAACCTCAACATCCATAGCTCGGACGGCACATCGCCTTCGCAATCGCCTTGCGCATGCCCCGCATCTCAGAGGGAGAGGAAGAGGAAGAGGAGGGGGAGATGAGAGAGATAGGGAGGGGGAGGAGGAGAAGGGAGGGGGAGGAGGGGGAGGAAGGATGAGTAGTTGTAGTAGCAGCAGTTGATGATATTGTTGTTGCGGCTGTAGCACTAGTAGTAGTGGTAACGGTAGTAGTAGTCCAAGTAAGTAGAACTGGCTTGTGGCAGCCAAGCGTTCATAGCGACGTTGCTTTTTGATCCTCCTTTAATGTCTTCTCTCCCTATCCTTGAGACGCAGAAGTCTCAACAAGTTGGATGGTTCAGCACATCCAGGAAACCTATCGCTGGACCGGCCCAGATATGGTTCCAGAAGCGGCTCGGGAAGCTGCGCAGGCGCCAGCGTACGGGCGCCGGCCCGGGCGTCCGGCCCACAGCCGCTCCAGAATCCGCCCAGGACGGCTTCCCGGGCGCCGCAAGCAGAAATTCAGCATTCTCGAAAGAAAAATGTGTATTGGAATGGCCTTTTTTCGGCGCGATCGGAACTGCCCGGGCGTCCAGCCCGGGAGCCGGGCCGGGTGCCGGCCGAGCTGGAATCGGCCCGGCCGCCTCCGGGCGCCGGAAAGCAGAAATTTCAGGCATTTTCGAAAGAAAAATGAGTATTGGCATGGCCTTTTTTTCGGCGCCGCCTCGGAACTCGCTTTTTCGGCCCGCGCCGGGCTCCGGCTTCGGAGGCGACCGGGCGTCCGGCGGGAGCCGGGGGTGGTGCCGGCCCAGGCTCCGGAATCGGCCCGGACGGCCTCCCGGGCGCCGGAAGCAGAAATTCAGCATTTT